CATGGATAGGAAGAATAAATATTGTGAAAATGGCCATTCTCCCAAAACTTTTATACAGGTTCAATGCAATCCCGATAAAAATACCATCAACATACCTCATAGAACTCGAGAAATCATTCCTAAAATTCATCTGGAGTAAGAAGAGACCTAGAATACCAAGGACAGTTCTAAGCAGCAAAGGCAAGCCAGGAGGTATCACAATCCCTGACTTGAAATTATACTATAAAGCAACAGTAGTAAAATCAACATGGTACTGGAACCAAAACAGAGCTGAAGATCAGTGGAATTGATTAGAAGATACAACCACAACTACAAACACACTCAACCACCTTATCTTCGATAAAGGGGCCAAACATGTTCACTGGGAGAACGAAAGTCTCTTTAATAAATGGTGCTGGAAAAACTGGCTCTCCATATGTCAAAAACTAAAACTAGACCCATGGCTATCACCATGTACTAAATTAAAATCTAAATGGGTCAAAGATCTAAATATTAAAACAGAAACACTAAATCTATTGGAAGACAAATTGGGTAAAAATCTTAAAGTTATAGGAGTAGGTAGAGAATTCATGAACAGGACTCAAACCACATGGGAAATACTTCCCAGAATCAATAACTGGGATAACCTCTTATTAAAAAGCTTCTGCACGTCAAAAGAAGTCTCCAGCATGGTGAGAAGAAAACCTACAAACTGGGAAAAAAATCTTAGTGAACTGCCCCTCAGACAAAGGGCTTCTGTCTAAAATATATAAAGAATTAAAACAAATCAGACCCCCAAAATTCAAAGATCCAATCCAAAAATGGGCATCTGAGATGAATAAACAATTCTCAGATGAAGAAATACAAGTGCCAAATAAATATATGAAAAAATGTTCATCATCATTGGTCATTAGAGAAATGCAAATCAAAACCACACTGAGATTTCATCTCACTCCTGAAAGAATGACCAAGATCAAGAAAACCACCAACAACAAATGCTGGAGAGGCTGTGGGGAAAAAGGAACTCTCCTGCACTGTTGGTGGGAGTGTAGACTAGTGCAACCATTGTGGAGGTCAGTCTGCAGATTTCTTAGAAAACTAGGACTGGAAGCCCCATATGACCCAGCTATACCACTTCTAGAAATATTCCCAGAAGAACTGAAAGCATCATACCACAGTGATATATGTACACCCTTGTTTATAGCAGCACAATTTCTAATAGCCAGATCTTGGAAATACCTAAGTGTTCCTCGACTGAAGAATGGATAAAAAAAGTTGTGGTATTTTTATACAATGGAGTACTACTCAGCTATAAAGAATGACCACATTGAGACATTTATAAATAAATGGACACAGCTTGAGACCATACTCATAAGTGAAATAAATCAAACTCACATGTATGAATACCAAATAGTTCCCTAGTGTAAGAAATGATACAAATACATAAAAGTATGTGGTGATCATAATTCCACATTATACCGTTTTGAAGTTTTATAAAGTTTTCACTCACTAATTGGAATGGTTTTATTCTCGGCTGTTTGATATTATTGCCTGTGATAATATGAAAAGGTATTTTGAAGAAAACAAGACTTATAATAGCTAGTGCTGAGTTAGTATCATCTTGTTTTGAGGTCCCATCAAATTGTTGTTCTTCTGTCTCCATTGCTTTTATCATGTTGTATCTTATTGTATTTTATTATATATGATAGTATAAACAAAAAATTTTTATAGGAAAAGAGATAATATAGAAACCATTTTTTATTTCTGTTAGCTGGTTCTAAGTACCTTGTAAAACTTTCATCCTCTTGAATGATTTCACACTGTCTTGACATGTTTGATGCTATAGTATACGAAGTTATACTCAAATATTTCAAGGAAAGAGGCACTATGGTAACTACTATTAAGTCGGTTTATCTTGTGTTGAAATACTATGTTGCTTAAATTGTTCTGTTCTGACCAGTATTGTTATGTTGTTATGTCCTCTTTTATCTCAGTCTCCCCTTTTTTAAAATTTATTTTTATTATTGTCTTTTAATTAAGGGAAAAATTTTTTAAAAATTAGCAGGATATAGGAAACTTTTTTGATTTCTTATTAACTTGATTTGAAGCCTCATATTGCTCTCACCATCTTGATTTGACTGATTTTACTCTATTCTGTTCTATTTGGTATTATCAATTTTGAGGGTATAGGCAACTACTTTGAAGGCAATAAGATTCACTATGATGCCCACTCTGGTTTGACTATTATCTTCTTTTGAAGTTCAGTAATGTCTGCAATGTTTAGGTTTTATTGGCTTTGTTCTGTACTGTTATGTTCAATTGTATTTTACCTGATGATATAGGCAATTCTTTTTAAGGTAGCAAGAGACATTGTGGTAATCATTGATTACCTTGTATTCTGTTTTTACATCATTTACTATGTCCATCCTTTGTTTTGAATGACTCTGCTTTGTTTTGTCATGTTTGGTTTTACTCTCTTCCAAAAAAAAGTAATAAGAACTATGGGAGTAATAAAACCCAAAATGTGTAAATGTTTTTGTAAAAAAGAGAGGAAAAGAAAGTGCTCTAAAGGACACAACTGAAAGTGTGTTTGATGTGTAACATAAATGACCATATTACTAAGTTTTTGTTAGATCACTGAACACAACTGTTTGCAGTCTCACTGAATGTCCACTTTGTATGCTTAATTTTGTAACTTGATCAACTATATCTAAGATGACAATACGTAATCTAATAATTAGTGATTTCTTACTGGTTTTTTTGAAATTCTGTTTTACTTGTACCCTTTTACTGTTTTGTTTTATTCTGTTTTTCTTTAAGTAAAAAAAGAACAGAAATAAAAACTGGAAAAAAAAAATAAATGACCCCAATCCACAGAATAACAACAGAAAGAAACCACCAGGTAAGACAAACAATGAAAAAAGGGGGGAAAGCAGAGAGCAAACAAATGGAACATAACATGGCAAATTTGAGCCAATACATGTCAGTTAAATCCATAAATGTAATTGGACTCAATTCACTTTTCAAAAGAAATAGGATGACACAATGGATCATGAAACATGATCACACAACATGATGTATACAAGAAACACATCTGATCCAGAAAGAAACTCAAAGATTAAAAGTCAAAGAATGGATAACAGTATTACATGCAACAGCAACACACAAAAGAGCAGGGGTAACTATTCTATTTGCAGACAACGTGAACTTCAAACCTAAAATGATTAAAAAAGATAAAGAAGGTTACTACTTACTCATTAGTGGAAAAATTCAAGAGAGAGAACAAAAATATATATGCACCAAGTACAGAAGCACCCAACTATACAAGACAAATACTACAGGACATGAAAAACCAAACACACAAGAACACAATTATAACAAGGGACCTTAACATTCCATTGTCACAAAGAGATAGATCAACTAGACAAAAATTCAGCAAAGAAATACTAGAACTGAATCATATTTGTGAGCAATTGTACTTAGTAGATGTTTACAGAGTGTTCCACCCACTCACAGCAGAATAAACATTCTTCTTGGCTGCACATGGGACATCCTGCAAAATGGACCATATATTATCCCATAAAATATTATTAAGTAAATGCAAAGGTATTGAAATTTTCCCATACTAAGTATCTTACCATAATACACTGAACTTTGAAATCAATGGCCAAAAAATCCCTGCAAAACCTGCATAAATATATGGAAATTAAGTAACAATCTTCTGAATAAACAGTGAGTTACAGATGACACTAAAGAATAATACAATACAGTGAAAATGCAGATACAACATACCTTAACCTATGGGATGCAATGAAAGCAGTCCTGAAAGGGAAATATATAGCAATAAACAGTCACATCAAGAAAATGGAACAAACACAAATAAATAACCTAATGCTACATCTCAAGCTTCTAGAAAAGGAAGAGCAAGTCAAACCCAAGGCTCATAGAAGAGAGGAAATTGAAAAGATCAGAGCAGAAATTAATGCAATTGAAACAAAAAACAATACAAAGAATTAATGAATCAGAGACCTGGTATTTTGAGAGAACAAACAAAATTAGGAAACGCTTGGCCAATCTTCTCAAGAAAAAGAAAAAAAAACACAAACCCATGCAATAAGGATGAAAAGAAAGGAAATTACTACAAATATCATGGAAATTCAAAAGATCATGAACATCTACTTTGAAAATCTCTACTCAGTGTGGAAAACACAGAGGAAATGAATAGATTTCTAGAAACATATGAACTACTGAAGCTCTGTCAAGAAGATATAACAATTTTGAATACCCCAATATCAGCTACTGAAATCAAAAACATGATTAAACCTTACCAACAATAAAAGCTCAGGTCCTGATCGATTCAAGGCTGAATTCTATAAGAAATTTAAAGATTTAGTGGCAATAATCTTTAAATTCTTCAATAAAATTGAAAGAGAAGTCCTCCCTAACTCATTCTTAGAGGTATCACTCTAACACCAAAACCAGAGAACGAACCAAACAAAAAGGAGAACTACAAACCAATCTCACTAATGAACATTGATGCAAAGATTCTCAGTGAAATATTGGCAAATAGAATGCAGCAAATCTGAGGGGAGCTTTTGAGGGACCAGATTTCATGAGGGTTAAGAATCATTCATATTGGACTGCTCCAGAAGGTGATTTGGCACAGAAATTCTGCGCATTAATATTACAGTACAAAGTAATCTGTGATATTGTGGGAAATCTCCTCTCAAAAACTTGTCCCAGATAGCCGATGGGTGTCCTAGAAGCAGGGAAGGCAGATATACAGAAACAAGTTGTTGTTTTATTTCACTTCCATCCCTTCCATTAATTCTAAGTGGGAATGTACTACAAGGGCTTGCTCAGTAACTGAACTCACTCTAAAAGTATAGATGAAGCAAGGTTCAAAGCTGTATGTTTCTGAGCCAAGTGTTCTGGGCTTGAGTTAATACTCAGGAAATCCAGTCCCTCTAAAGCTCGCCTAAGGAAGAAATCAATGGTTCCTCCAGAATTCAGCTCACAGCCTGCGATGCCCTGGATCTCAAAGGGGTCTGTGGAACAGGAAAACAGAGGGGCATTTTTAACAATAAAGATAAAGAGAAAGGTAGACAGAACTAAAATACCTGCAGCACTAAGAAGGCCTCAATAAACCACATCAGAATGTTGCGTACAAGTTGTGGAGGGATGGTGCAATGTATAGTGAGGCAAGATGAGAGAAGAGAGGCAGAAGGTAAAGAAGGTACAGAGCAGTCATAAGTACAACATTCCACAATGAACCGCCGGGTAACCTGGAGAGGAAAGATTAGGGAAACAAGAACAAAATAAGTTTTTGTTAAAAGGGAAAGCAGTTTCTGCTTTGCAAGAGAAAAGAACTGGAGATGGAAGACGGTAATGGTTGCAAAAATGTATGAATCTATTTAACACAAACTGGTAAAAATGTTAAAGTTGTGTGTTTTATCGAGATTTCATGAATGTGCTTTACACAAGAGATTATAGAGAAAAGGAGAAGATTGGGGAAAGGCTAATGTCTTGTTAAAGGCAGAAAAGATAGGAAACTGTATGGAAAAAATTATTATGAAAATAAAAACTTACCAGCGCCTATAAAACTATAATACAAATAACACCAAAACAATCAAAAAAGGCACTAGTATTTCCAAAATGATTCATGCAGTGGAGATGGAGTATCCTGTTGGATGAGAAAGGCAGACAATATCATATGAAATCATAAACACACATGACCCCATCCTTGCTTAGCCCTCATATGTATGCTTCCTACTCTAAAGGGCTTTCCTCTTCTCTCACCTCTCCTTCCCACTACTAAACCTCTCTTCTCATTATCACTCCCTCACTTCTTTGCTTCATTTAAGCCTGGTACAGTCTCTCATTATTTCCAGCATGATCCCCATCTTTTCTCATCCCAGTAGAGGTTGATTCCCGCCCTCCAAGGTTGCATGCTTCAGTTGGCAAAACAGCATAGTAGCCTCCTCAGCTACCACATCCACAGTTGTTCAGAGATACCATGTATCATCAGCGTTGGGCAGCACGTACCCTGAGTTTCATGCTGCTCCTGCTCATCCTGCATCCACGACACCCACACAGACTTTGGGTAGAAGCCAGAGATATGGCACACCAGCTGCAGATGGCCAGTCACATGGCTTGATCTCTGGGACAGCCAGGCCTTAGGTTTCACTGGGGCAGAAACAAGATAGGTAAGTTTCAGATTATGACTCTAACCCACACCATGTAACTCTGACCCCTCCACCCTTTGAGAATATAATAATTTATTAAGGAAATTTCTCAGATATCTTTCTACTTTTTAACTAAAGAAAGTGACACAAAGTAAAACAGAGCAGGGCTAATCTTGCTGATTCAGATCCAACTTATGGACACTTGAAAGAAACTGAGGGCAGAATTCTACAAGGAGCATCTCTATCATGTCATAGATAACTATGTACTGAAAGATGTACATGCAGAAGATCTGTGCCTAGGAACCCCGCTCTGGGGAAGGCCAACATGAATAATACTTGATACTCACAAAATCCAGTCTCCTGAAAGCTCCCCTCAGGAAGCTTACAGTGGCAACTCCAGAATGGAACTCAGAGTGGTGCCCTGAATCTCAAAGGGGTCTGCACAGAAGGAAAAGAGAAAGATGTTATTAAACAGCAAACAAGAAATAAAAAAATGTGGAAGGGACCCAAAATGTTGGATTTGAGTGGGGACAACAGTCAAGGATCAAATAAATATAGTACTTAGAGAGTCTCAGAAAGAACATTGGAGGGAGACACACTTGGTGGGTAAGGAATATGGTGGTAAAATGGGAGAAGAAAGGCAAAGGCTGAGGAAAATTCAAGGGAGCCACAAAAAAACATTCCATAGGAAGCCAAGTGTCATTCAGAGAGGAGACCATAAGGAGGAGAACACTGAAGGGATGGATGAAATAAAGAAGCTCCATTTTAGATCACTGAAGCCAAGAGTAAGAATATGAATAAGTTTCACAAGACCCAAACTGCCTGCTGAAGTCAAAAAGTGTCCTCTTCCTTTACTAGAGAAAGGTGCAGAGCAGTAAGAGTAGGGAATATATTTGTGGAAGGCCAAGTCCAGGTGGGAGACTGTTCTAGTCAAATGTGTGCAGGCAGTTAGGTGAAGTAATGAAGAGGCAAAATATCAGAGGGAACACTGCCTAAACCATGAGATAAAGTCACTGTGAATGTCCCCAGTGTCTGAGAACTACAGTCACATTCTATCTGAAATTCCCTTGCAAGTTCTTCCACTTCGGAGATGAATCCAAAGAAGTAGATTTGGAATATCTCCTCCAGCTTGGATATCTCTTCATTACTAAGATTGCCCTGAGACCAGGGAGTCAGCAATATGAAAGTTCCTGAGGCATTGTCCCACCAGTGAAATTGCAAATCACCCAACCAGCCTGAGCCTTCATTTTGTGCCCAGTTACTGTTGATGAAGGATGTGATTTGGTTGACATGTAAAGTGGTTGAATCCTGGGTGTCTATGGAGTAAACAAAGATAAGATGGTAACCCTTGTTTATAATAGCATGATTCATAATTGTTAAATCTGGGAAGAAGCCTGTTTGTCTATCAAGAGTCAAACAGACAAAGAAAATGTGGTGTTTAACAGCATGAGGAGTCTCCCATTATGAATCATAAACCAGTCATTTGTAGGAAATGAATGCATCTGCATCTTGCATTCGTAATATTGAAGTGAAATAAATCTGATACAGAAGCTCAAATATTACATGTATTCTCTTATACAAAAAGCCCAGTTATAAATAAAAAGAGGACAAAAAATAGACAATAGGAAGTAGAAAGATAGATCTTTCTCAAATGGAAAAAGTATCAAAAGATAGAATAAGGTTGGAGGGAGAAGAGAGGAAAGGAATAAAAAGAGAAATTAGGATGAGTTATATACATGAACCAGCTCCACAAAGAATGTAAATATTATGCACGATAAACAATTTCTAATAAAACTAAAGTTTTAAAAAAAATAATAATGATATAAGAAAAAAAGAGAGAATCAGGAAGGAAAATAAGAGCATGTACAGAAAACAAAACCCCGAAGACTGCACAACCTACAAGGCTTGACACATCTGAGAGCCCCAAAACCTCAGGTTCCAGTCCCAGCCACCAAAATAGTGGAAAAGCCCTGAAAAAAAGGAGAGTACCAGCCTGCAATGCACTTGGGTAAGCGCAGGCTGCCTTTATGCAGACCCCTTGCACCAGGGCCAGCAGCTGCCAGAGCTCCTCTTACCGTCCCAAGTGTCACCAGCTAGGAAGCGAACTATAAGCAATGCCAGTGATAGGAGCAGCATCTCTCTAAGAGAGGACTTCAGTCTCTTAGCTTGTGTTTGATCTCTGAGTTTGGCAACTCTTTTTGCTCTGTACTCTGTAGTAGTGACTTGCTCTCTCTTCCAACTGACAATCTCTTCCTCATAGAAATTTGGCATCAGTGAATCATTTGCCGCCCACGCTCCAGGTTCTCCTACTCCATCTTTCATTTCCCCTGTGGCCCTCACTTACAGACTGGCTCTTGTCTTTCTGAATCCTAGTTTCTCTCCCTGTCCTGAGCTCTCTTCATATGAGCTCAGAAAACTACCTAATGTGGTACAAAAGGTCCTTCTGCTTGCATGAGCCAGATCATTTACAGATATGGAGGTTGAGGAAGTGATATTAGATCCCTTCTCAGCCTCTCACCTGCTTTGGCCCAGAAAGTTACTCATCATTTATCCATGCACCTAAGCATTTCTCCCTCCACTTGTCCTATCCTCTCTGCCATCACATTACTCCTTCCCAGGGTTCTGTGTCTCCCTTTTCCTATTTCATTCCTTGTGTCTGGTCTCCCTAAACAGACTGGTTATATCTGTTCATATCTTGACTTCTATTTTAACAAACTCTTCAGAGTTTGCCAATGTGACTACAAAAATCTACCAAATTACAGGTCCAGGGTAAAAAGCAGTAGGCATTATTTAGATCAAAGGAGCAAGCAACCAGAAATATGAGGAAAAATATCTCACCTCAATGGCTTTTTTAATTCACAAAACAGATCATACAGAAATTAATTTGATCATTCATATGGAAAGCATGTATAATGTATAAAAGGAATTAAAACTTAAATTCAAACACAGTAGGCTGAGGGATACTATGATACAAACTGTCAGACTACTACTAAACAAACAACTATGAGAATGGGAGACAAAAAACTACACTGAAGAGGTTTAAGAAACAAATTATTACACCAGTGGGCTTCACTAAGATCTCTCCCAAAGAGCAAGAGCTCCCCACCTATGGAATTATGAGGGTTTGATGGGAAAAGCAACTGGGAGATATGGAGGCAGATTTAGTGCGTTATGATTGGAAGGTTCGGTGACATTTTGGGTTGTTAACGGAATTTAAAAATTTCAGGTTATACTGTAAGGCTATCCACTATATAAAGCATGGGTCACACAGAGGGAGAAATCTCCTGTTACATTTTAAGTTAAATTACAAGGCCATCAGTTATAAAAAGGCAGTAAAGATGAGGGTTATGCAAATGAACATTTTAAGTTACATTTTAAAGCCATCTGTTAGAATGCTTACACAAAGAAGAGATGTTTTGTCAGGTTGGTTCAGATGTGTCTTTTTGGCATTATCAGGCCTTCCTGTCAGTTCTTATTTAAATTTTTAATTTCCCTTTCAGTATTAGGAATTGAACCCCTGAACTACACCCTCACTCCTCACCATGTTTGTTATAATAATAATAGTTATTATTATTGTTGTTGTTAATATTATTACTATTATTATTATTATTTGAGAGAGAGTCTCACCGACTTACTCAGGTGGGATTTGAACTTTCAGTCTTCCTACCTAAACCTCCCAAAGTGCTGAGATTATGGGTATGCAGCACTATGGTCCACTGAATGCTAGACAGTCTGGGGGTTAAATTAATTCTCTTTTTCTAAATTTCTATTTTTCTTTGTCCTCAACCAAGACACACAAAGCAGGCACTGCACTTTTTAGGAAGAAGGAAAGTTGGAAAGAGAAGATAGAAAAGAAAGATACCAGTGACAGCACGTGCACCATGAGTCTACAAGCACCTAGCATCCTTTGTTCTCCTATGAATTAGGTTCTGTGTTATTCAGGCACTGGTTGTTACTGGCTGTGTCTGCTTTTGAGAAAAGTCTATTCAGGCCACTTGTTATTTTTGATTAGTTAACCAGTTTTGTTGAACTCTTTCATTTCTTCTATAATCAGGATATTAATCTTTTGACAGATGAGTAGTTTATGAAAGATTTTCCCATTATGTAGTTTGTCTCTTAACTCTTGTGATGTTACATTTTCCATACAAAAATTTCTTTATGATAGAATCCCATTTGTGTAGCTTTGCTTTGCATTTTGAGGGCCCTATTCCCAAAAAAACCTGACCTTTAATAGTGTTTTGAAGTTTTCCCACTCTTTTTACTTCTTTCATTCTTGAAGTCTTAATTTACATATGCATTCCTTCTTTTTTAATTGATTTTTTACACAGGGTGAGAGATAAGGATCTGTTTTCAATCTGTTGCATGCATATATCCACTTTCCATAATTATTTATTAAAAGGATAGCCTTTCTCTAAAATATGTATTGGATGCCTTTGTTGAGAGTCAGACTGCTGAAGACAGACTTTTTTTTTTCTGGGATCACTACTCTTTTCCACAGTAGTGTGTCTTGTCTTAAATTGATCTTGTCTAGTAGACAAATAATATGTGCATGAACATTTTTATTGTTTCTTTTGTATTTTATCTAAATTTCATTTATATAAAAGATTTGCTGCTCTTTTAATTCATTTTTCATATTTGAAAGCCTTGCTGAATGATTGAGAACTGTTATAGAGTGAAGTATAATTTATTTGAAAGATAAAGATATTATTACAGACATCTTCCTAAATAATCAACAGATTCTCTTCTGACATCAGGCCCTTTATTTCCAGAGAATAGTATTGCAAATGGTGGTAAAGAAAAGCTCATACCTGTAAGGGATAGATGTAAGTCATATTACTCTTAAAAATTTTGTTTTATTTCTGGTTATTAATACTATAAAGAATGATATTATTTCTTTATTGTGTGGTTTATTTTTGAGACAGCATCTTCCTACACAGTTCACGCTGCCCTTGAGCTCACTTTGTATCCCAGGTGGAAATCACAGTAATCCTCCTGATTTAACCTCCTGAGTGTTTGGATTACAGGAATGAGCCACCACACCCAGCTATTAAATTTCTTTCAGCCCTGCACTATCACCATGGGTATGCTTTGAGAGAAACAAAATGAAGTTGATAGAAACATAGTGATAAATAATTTCAAGTGTATCAGTAACTAATTTGACTGGATGGATAGAAAATACAAAATTAGAAAAGTATCAGTTTCTATTTCTGGCAATACACATTCCACTCTATTAACCTGAAGTGTTGTTCACACAAGATTATCATTGGAGAATAATTCTGCAAATATAAAATTACGTATCTTTTAGCAATATGTCCAGACTCCATTACTTCACAGGTAAACTCTATCTATAATTTGGACAATTATAAAGACAATAATGGTTGCCATTTACATGAACATTGTATGTTTTTATCATGCACCTTTTATTTTACACAGAACAACAATGTTCAGTATATTTCATGTGTCGTGGATTCACTTGAAAGAAGAAATCCTTATAGCTCAGTGGTCCAGCACCTGCCTGGCAAGCACATGGTCATGGTTCAATCCTTGATACAGAAAGAAAGAAAGAATCTTAAGAACATAATAGTGATACCTAAGAAATGTGTGCAATCTTATCAAGTAGACTCAGATTTCTATACAGCAAAGAATGTCATGAACAAGTAACAGTGATGTGAGAGCAACAACAACGAGATGTTACCATGTCCAAGAATATGTCTGACTTGTCTGCATGATGCCCAAAGCATCTGTACACTCACAGAAAGAATGCTTCATAGCTTGCTTTGACAGTTAACTGTCACGTAACAAAATATCTGAGATTGTCAACTTTTATTATCTAATTACTACTCAAAAATTCACCAATTGTAACAATAATTGTGTATTATAATATATTGAGTCAGAATAAAAATAAAATCTATATTGAAATTAATTGCTATTTCTTGTGAAACTACTCAGCATACAAGATTATCCTCTCATTTTTATTCTAAAACTTATTGTCGAAGAAATTACTTCATTTTTTGTAAAATTATTCACAGGCTAAATTTTGTTAGTAACATAGACAAGTTAACGTGACCATTTTCCTCCTATACACTGAATTATATTTGTGATCTGATCACACACAGATTTCACTGTATTAGGTATCTTTCTCAGGAACCATGAAATGACACTTCTGAGAAGATGATGGAACAGTAAGCAGCAAAGTAAACAGGCTTTCTGAGGGAAACAGCCCAGAAGCTAGAATATAGCATCATGGGGAAGACAAGAAGAAAGGAGGTGGGTTTCCTGGACCCAGGAAGAACCTAAAGTGAGAATTGAAACCCAGAGAGAGAGAGTAAAAAAGAAAAACTTAAAGAAGAAGACAGTAGCTGGTGGCACCTCACCCAAGGCCCAATCTGCTGTGTGAGAGGAGCTATTGGAACCTGTGGATGCACAATCATGGTGACAGTGGTGGATGGAAAGCCCAGAAGTCCCTGCATAGAGACACCAAGGTGGAGCGCAGCAGTGGATGCAGAGGACTGCACTGGCTGGTGGTGTGTGCAGAGCGTTCAGTTCTCCCATGGGAGAGAGCTTTTGGCTCGGATCCATTTTGGAGTCAAGCAGGAAAAGCCCAGAAGAGCAGCAGGCTTCCTCCAGTGGTTTCTAGCTGGGGCAGACTGGTGGAAACTGCTTGGACTGGGCCCCATCCTTGTTCTCATTGAAACAGCCATCACCAAGTTTCCTGATCAGTAACCAACTTGGCCTGGAGGCAGTAGCCAGCCCTGTGTGTACTCTAATAGCCATGATGGGGGCTCCCTGCTTTTAACCACCTCAGTAGGGTAGTACCTACTACTTTTCCCCCAATCTCCCCATCCCCTACCTTCCTAGAAACCATAGTGGTAAGATTCCCACCTGTAACCAGCTAGGAGTCATTGGGCCAGCCCTGTCCCTGCATGTACTCCAACAGCCACCAATGGAAAAAAACAACCTGGGAAATGCAACAGTCTTGCACCAGTACACCCAGTGGTAACTATCAAATACTCATAGCCAGCACTGACTAGAAGAATCAAATAGTCTCACTTCAGAGAAATTGTAGCCAATACAGGAAGTGCCTGGGATGCCACTATCCACTTGTCCAGAAGAACCCAGGAGTATGTCAAAATTAAGAAGCAAAAAACAGTCTCTGGCTTCTAACCCAAGCAGATCTGGTCCATGAGATGTAAACACAGAATTAGACTGGAGTCACACACCTGAAGTTTCTCAAATAAAGGCAACTAAAATAAAGAAACAATTTCATGAGGCAAAAAAGGAAATTAGAACAGAGATATAATCTCAGGTAAAAGAAGAAATGA